GGGGGGGGGGTATGTTCTGGGATGGAAGCGCTCTAAAAGGACAAGGACAGACGGGGACAGACGGGGACAAAGGACGATGATTACAGAAATAAGGACGGAGGGCCGATGACGGCAGTGTACCCAGGTCGCGAATGGAGGTCGGAGGATGAAGCGGCAAAATAGCATCACATGCTCATCTCGACTTCCAACGGTCAAAGGACATCATGTGATCATTACCTGTTCTCATGAGGATGCTCCGCCCGTAGTTCACCAGCTTCTTCAACAAAGAAGGACAAACCTCCGTGTAGTAATGCTGCCGCAGGTCCCTTTGAAGCTCGTTAAAGTCAAACTTGTGTTTGATGGCAAGAGCCTGCGGGCCCTCTACGGTCCATGTGAATGTATTCACGTCCAACAACATGACGTGCTCGTCCTCATATTTCATCTTTTCCCAAGCATCGACAGCATCGGTCTGGTCATCCCATTCGCAGCCAAACCTCGCCTGCCCAAAGTGGACACCTGAAAGGATGACAAAAGCGTTGGAAGGCATACGGAAATCTGATCAGCGCCGAAAATGTCTACGAAAAGTAAAGCGTGAGAGAAGCGGACCTTCAGATTGGTTGAAAGCCTTTCTCACGGTTTCCAGCAAAGATCTGCCCAAATCCTCAACAATCATGGCGACGTTTCTCTCCCTTTCCCAAAAGTCTAGATCGTCTGCTGTGGCTTCTGTCATCCAGTTATTTCTGGGTTCCAGTATCCTGCTCTTGCTGTCATAGTACATCACAGCAATGTGGTCGACATAAACGACACCCACATGGTCTGGTAAGTTGGCAATTCCAGTTGAAACCATGACGAAATTCTCCAGTGAGTGGATTGCTGAAAGAAAAAACAAACAAACAAACAAAACATCAACATGAGATTCAAACATCTATCTGGATTTCAAGAGTAGAACAAAAACGCTCGCCACAGTTGAGTTCATGTCACTCTCAAATTCACGCTGCTTGATCTACTTTGTCGAGGATCTTCTTTTGAGCTGACTTTTCTCCAACTCTCCATGAGAGCAGCCAAACTGGTCTGGACGGGATCAATATGAAGTTGAATGCCTCGAATGGCGCGCCAAATAGCTTGCAGAGTCATTTTCTCCAGAGGCGTCAGTTGCCGGCAGGTGCGCCATCGTCACAAAAATACTTGTTTCAAAGGCACAAATGTCCCAAAAATGAGATGCCAACAACTTGCCACACACAACAACTCAAGTGGAGCATGAAGTACGAACTTTACACGCATCTTTTAAGTCGCGACTTGAGCACTTGGTGCCTCCGATCACCCTGGCGGCCATCTTGATGTTCAAAATGAAACTTAAATCGACTGTATTTCTTGAAAACAACCACCGCTGGATGCAAAGTGCTGTACGTGGAGGAAAAGAATTCATACAACAAATACGTACACAACAAACACAGTAGAGAGCACAAAAACAGTCAAACTAAAAATCTCGTCTCCTGCTGAGTCGAAAGCGAAAGATTAAAAACTGAGTTTTAAAGGTGGCCAGCGAGGGAGCTTGCCGAACGTTCATTTCACAATGAAAAACGGACACTATTTCTTCAACGTGTGGAGAAGTTGCCCATTTGTTGACATGCAATCTTTGTCGTCAGCTGACCATTTTGCATCGCCTTGCAATCTGTTTTGTTTAGTTGGTTTCTTTTGGTTTTCAGGGGCTTTATGTTAATCTTTAAATTGCGCCGAAATATTCCGATGAATTCTTGTGCCGCTGCGTAGCATAACTTGATACGTTTTTTTCTGATTGTGTGTAATTAAATTGGAAAATAGGAAGTTTAGAAAAAAAAGATAATTTGTTTCCATACCTTGGAAGTGTGGGGCTCGAAATGACTGAAATGATATGAATCAAGAATATTTACAAGTGTTGTAAGACTATGAGAGAGATTTCGAGTGACACTAAAGTCAGCAAGTGCAGTCATTTCAAAGTGAAACTGTCGACATTCTACATTGAGAGGTGTCACTCATGATCTAAAAGTCTGTTCGCTGCACAGGTCTTTTTGTTTTGTTTTATTTTGTTTTTGCTCCACCTCCATCCTCGCCTCATCAAAATATTTAACAAACTTCAAGTAGTGAAGGGGAACTTGTGACCGAAATTCAAGTAGTAAATGGGAACTTGTGAAATTCACTGTGCACTGATGGACACGTGACGGACCGTCAACCAGACAACAAAACAGGACCGACTGGTCTTGTGTCCCAGGTTTCCCAGAAACCAATTCGCGAAGCAAAAACTTTCAAGCAGTTACACTGAAGACAATAACAGGACAAAATGTAAACACCATTATGTCACTTGGTATCTGACGGCAAAGACTAATAGCGAATTCCTAAAATAAAATGTGTGAAGCCCAAACACAAGGTAGTGGAAAGACATGCAGATAAACTTGTCAAACAAGTGGACTTACCAGGCATCACGCTGTCTGTTTGAACAATCACAACAAATGCAAGCCAGTTCACAATCATGATCAACAGGAATTAATTTAAAAACATTAAAAAAAAGATGATTTAGTTGTGTTTTAGTCCCACGTCGTGCTGTTTGGAAATGGCCGCACTTAATCCGGTTTATCCAGTTCTTTCCCGGCCACCCATAGCTACGCCGCTGGCACAAACTGACACGTGACAAATGGGCGAACGGGAAATGAGCACGATTACTTGATTGACACCAGCGGGGAAATGTTTCACTTTCACTTTTGACTCAGCACAAGGTGTGTTCATGGTGCTTTCAATGACAGCCAACAAAACGGGAAATCTCACGTGTAGAGAAAAAAAAACACACACACATAATCAACGAGTAAAACCGAGCAACCTCACTCGGATTGGCTCGAAAGTAATTCATTTTTTGCTTAGGCCTGAGCACAAAAAGGGCAGAATGACGACATTTTCAGCAAATAACGGCGGAGATGTGCAATGAAACAAATCCGTGAAGATGTAAATTCACGAATCCCGAATCATGCAAATGCGGTGGGCCGCTCACCGGACTTAAACACACGCAAAAACTACCGATGACGTTCACGGCGTGCTGCCTGGATTGTTGTGGCACAAGGTGGCACTACACCGGAGTGGACTGTGTGTCGAACACCACTTCTCAAATTGCCCGCGAAATCAGCAAAATGGCGCGGGTGGAAACAGTAAACTGCGATCTAAAATTCATTTGCTGACTGACGACTTCCCCTCCCCCCTCCCACCGAGAGCCGAAGCCTGCCAAAAAGTTACCCGAGTGTTTGAGAGTCGAGCAAGAGTGATGCTTGCAAAGTTTTGATGCTGCCTTGAAGCAACG